GGCAGCAGCCAACTCCCGAGCCAGGTAAACAGATCCACGGTTCCCTGCATTCGGTGTATCTCTGTGGCTACTGCCAGCCACACTTCTTACACTCATGCCGATTAATCCTCTCCAGTAAATAGAATTATTACGTCTAATTTTTTTTTTTTTTTTTTTTTTTTTTTTTTTTTTTGAGAGACAGGGACTTGTTCTGTACCCAGGCTGGCGTGCCGTGGCGCAATTATAGCTCACCGCAGTCTCAAACTACTGGGCTTAAGTGATCCTCCTGCCTCAGCCTCCTAAGTAACTGAACTACAGGCACATGCCACCACACTTGGCTGACTTTTTTATTTTTTGTGGAGACAGGGTCTCTGTATGTTCTCTAGGCTGGTCTTGAACTCCTGAGCTCAAACATTCCTCCCACCTTGGCCTCCCAAACTGTTGTTATTACAGGCATGAGCCATTGCACCCTGCCTAAATGTATACTTTAAATCACCCCCTTCACCTCTCTGCCAAAGAGCATTTAACTGACGAAGCTGAGGTCAGAGGTCAGACACGCTAGTGATCCCCATCCCTGGGGCTGTTCTGGGAACCATTCTTGGCACAAGGCAACGTTCACATCCATGTGGTTCTGCACCACCCAGCCCTCCTCTGGACAGGCCACATCTCGTTGGCAGGTCCTGGTCCCTGCCCCTAGGTCCACAGCACCCCCAACCCCTCACAGGTGCTCCCACCTGCCCATCCAGCATCCCATCTAAGAGGTACAGGAGCTTCCCAAGTGCAGTGAGGGCCTCCTCCCGGGCCAGGGACTCGTGTGGCCTGTGGTGGACAGACCAGAGGGACACACAGACACGTAGTGACTACACGTCAGGCACACACACGCACAGGTGTAGATGCGGCCCCATCCTCCCCAGGCCAGCCCTGCCCACCTGGCCCAGGCTTCTGTCTCCTCCCTCAGGGCTGACCCTTCCTGTTGGATGACATCAGGGGGCAGGACCAGTGTGATATCTGGCACTGTCAGGGCAACAGTGGTGCGGACAGAGGGTGCAGGGCAGAGGCACGGCCGGTCCAGGAGGGAGCTCGGTGCAGGTGCAGGTACAGCTGCCTTACACATGGGACCCCCAGGCAGCAGAGGTGGAGGCCTCCCCTCTGGGGAGTGGGTGCTGGGGCTCGTCGGCACAGGGGTCACATCTAGGGACAGTTCAGAGTCATAGCCACTGCACGGAGCCTGAGGTGGGATCCTGCAGCCTAGCACCTGGCCACACTGACCTTGCAGCTGCAGGCTCTTCCAGTACGGGGCTTGGGCAGCACGGGCACTCTGGATGGACTCCAGGGCACTGTGGGGGAGACACAGCAGTGGTGACGCCTGGCCTCACACCCCAGCCCCGCCTGCCCTCCCTCCCCTCGAACCTCTGACATGGCACCATGAGCCCTGACAGGGGTGGAGCCGGGTCGCCCAGCAGCGTCTGTACTGTCATGCACACCGACTCAGCCAGTGACTCCAGGTGGTAGCCGCCCTGGGTGGAGGGTGGAGACATGATTGGGGCAGAGATATCACTGGGATGGGGTGTCACCAGGAGGGCCCTTGCCTGGCTCTATCCCGGGCAGGATGCCCCTCCCAAGTACCACGTGGGCACCTGGCTCCCATGCTCCTGACCCCCAGACCTCTGGCCCAGGAACCCTCCCTATGTGCCCTCCCCAGTCACCTCCAGCATGGCGCAGACCCGGCCGCCGGCCAGCACCTGCAGCAGATGTGTGAGATGGGCGAAGCACTCTGGCGTGGCCTGCATTTGCCCCTGGAACCAAAGCCATGTGTGAAGGGGGACCTGGGCTCCAGGACCCTAGAAGCCCTCCCTGGCCAGGCAGGCCCTCACCTCAGGGTCCCCGATGGCTGAGTCAAATCCTGCTGAGACCAGCACCAGCTCAGGGTCAAACTACAGGTCAGGCCGGGGTGGGGAGGGTTGAGAGAGGGGCTGGAGCCCAGGTGAGGGCAAGCCAGGCCCATCCCATCCCCTCCTGAGCACTCTTCCCTGCCAGGCAGCAGTGGGACAGCTCATAACCCTCCTCCTGCCTTCACCGTGGCGCTCCAGGCACCAAGTTCCCTCCCACCCGGCTGCCCTGGGGGAATCCTCCGTGCAGTCACCTCAAAGGCCAGTGGGAGCAGCAGGTGCAGGAAGGCAGCCACGTAGTCAGCGTTTCCCATCCCGACCTGGCAGGACATCCCAGGCTACATCCTGAACTGTGGGGCAGGGGAGGGGGCTGGG